CCACCTTCCTCTCTGCGCGCGATGACTGGTGGGTGCGCATGGTGCACAATAGCGGAGTAGAGAGACTCGTCTTTCTGGAGGCATCAGACTCCCAGCGGAAGCGCTTTGAGGACCAATTTGCTCGTTACCCGGGGGTGCTAAATCTTGTGACGTTTCAGTAGAGTCCCAGTTTGTTATTTCGCTTCGAATGCGTTCCCGAAATGCCCCATGGGATGTAGGAGAATCCAGCTGATATTATTCTCGTATTTACACATTTGGCCATGCTAGAGTACGTGATGGATTGTACGGTCTGTAATTGCGCAGGCATACAATTTCCCCAAAGTGGGGCCACGGCTGTTACTTCGGTCACATCACAACGCACCATCCTCCACGCTGCTGCTGCCGGGCACGCTCAGCCTCTGCGCGCTCTCGTTCCCTGCGCGTCGCGTCGAGTTGCCTGAGTCTGCGCTGAACCTCGGCGTCTTCTTGATATCGTCTGTCCGCTAGCTGCTGCCGTTGTCGCTGTAATTCGGCGGCGACGCCCCGTGGTCGAACGGCCTCGATCTCTCTTGCCTGTAACCGGGCGAGCCTGTCTTCCGCGATGAACTCCGCGGGGATCGCAGGCTCGACGTGCCCACGGCGCTCTGCAATGTCCATTTCCTGCTCGTAGATGCCGCCGTGCGCGCTGCTCATGTGCGTGTAGCACTCCCTATCGGTGCTAAACGTGGCGAGGCAGCGCCAGCAGATGTGCACGCCGCAGCGGCACGAGATGTGCTGGCACCCACCGTCCTTGAAGATTGGCGTCTGGCACCGCGGACAGCGCCGGATGCCCGACGTGTGGCTATTAATGTAGTCCTCGCTCGGGTCGCGCGCGGCCGCCGCGCAGGTCCGGCCGCCATGCGCGTTGTTGCCGCAGGCGGCGCACGCGCTCGAGAAGCACGCGGGGCACTTGACGGTCGCAGAACCGTCCTCACGCGTGCTACGCGAGTAGAGCTGTGCGCACCCTGGCGTCTTGCACGGTCGAAGGATGTTTGGGTTCTGTTCGATGTGTGCATGAAACGCGGCCTCGAGCAGCTGCTGGAACTTACTCTCGTGCAGGAACCTCTCGAGGATGGATATCACGAGTGGCGCACCACACTGGCCTTCGTCGCCGGAGCAACGGAGAGGGAACGCGTTCGACTCGAGCGCGCTTCGGACGAAGTGGGTGAGACACTCAGTGCAGTAGACATGCCCGCATCCGAGTGCGCTTGGAGCCGTTGCCGGAGACATACAGATAGGGCAGGTGTGCTCGTTGTCAGATACGGCCTTGGTGCTACTCCAGTCTCCAAAAGAGTCTGCAAAGAGTCTGTCGAGCCGGTGCCGAATCTCCTCGTCTCCGGTGACCGTGATCTTCCTCGGCTGCGAGACGAGATCGAGCATGACGGCGTCGTCGCCGTACGTCTCCTTCAGTTGTGGGTACCCAATCTCGGTGAAGAACTGGATGGTCCGCTGCGCTGTGAGCTCTTTCATATACTCCTTTCGTGCCAACTCCTCCGCATAAAACTCGAGCTGCTCGCGGGCCCGCTCAACCGCACGTGCAGGACCGTACGCACGGAGACCCTTAATGCGCTTGTCGACCATCACGAGCGCACCAGTAGCGTCGCGCAGGTCATCCGTCAGCTTCTGGGCAGTGGCAGAATCGAAGAGGCGGCGGTTCCACATGCTGAACGTCGTTCCCCGAGCTAGCTGCTCCGCGCGGACTTTCAGGAGGCCGACCTTCTCGAGGTCGTCGCCATGTACGTTGAGCCTGACCCTACCGTCTGGCATGTTGCGTACCTTGAGGTCGCAGCTCTCCCGCTTGCAAGTCCCGGTGAGCTCGTCCCACTGGGCCTTCTGCACATTGTACTGTGTCATAGGGATGAAGACCGGGTAGGTGTACTTGGAGGGAAGGAAGAGGCGACTGTACGTGTACGAAAGTCCGGAGTAACGGAAGTCTCGCTCGGTACGCAGGGAATCTCTGTATGCACGAGCGTTGTCCCACGTATCGAACTCGGCGTAGAAAGTCGCGCGGGTGTCGTTTCCGGCTGATGAGGTCTCGCATCGCACGCTGCGAGGGGCTCTGCACCCAGGACGAGACTCTAGGTGGCGTCGGAGGGGATCCAAAGGAGTGGCAGGATCCCACTGTTTCCGAACAACTTGGACAGATACCGTCCTACCGAACGCGCTCGTACCCGATCCATCATCCGCGAGACTGTTCTTGAATGGAACAAAGCGCGGAATGACGCCGCGCAGAGGAGGAAGGCTTGCGAGTCGCGGGACGACATTGCTCGCAATCGCGACGAAAGCGAAGTCATTCTTGTACGCCTTGGAAATAGAGAACGTGGACTTCCCAATACCGTGTTGCTCGAACAAAGCCACGATGTCCTTGTCCAGAACTCCCTGAGAAAGGCTGTTGAAGCGCCCGCGCGTGACGTCAAAGCTCGCGATGATGGTGTCGACGGCCAATCCCGCAGAGAAGGTGACGATGCAGCTGTCCACTTCGCGGGTAAGTTTTCTGGCGGCTTCGACGCGATTCTGCTCCTGCCGCTTCGCCGCCAACTCGACGTCGCGCCTGGCGCGTTGCTCTTCCTTCTGCCTCTGTGTTTCTGCCTGTCGCCTCGCGTACTCTTCCTCGCGGCGTCGCTGGAGCTCAGCTAATTTGCGACGTTCTTCGTCCTGCCGACGGCGCTCCTCTTCAAGACGCTCAGCCTCTCGCCGCTGGCGCTCTTCCTCTCTCCGACGTTCTTCCGCCTCCACGCGAAGTCGAGTCTCTTCTTCCTTTCGCCGCTCTTGCTCTCGCCTTAGGCGCTCCGGAACGGTAGGATCATGGAAGTATCCACAAGCTTCGCCCTTTTTGCATGTTCCAGTAGCACTCCATTTGAAACAAGGTTTGCGAAGGGAAGGGCCCTGAATGAGATGCTCCATGACTTCGTGCGGGATCTCTATGTTCGCAAGGACTCACACCACTAATAACAGTGACCCCACCGTTCGGCGCGCGATCAACGGTCTCCTTAGTAGCGGATCCTGCGACAGGCTTTGGAGCTTCGCGATCACTCTTGTATTTTTAATCAAAAACAGGAAGTGCTCATGCAATAGTGGCTCACCGTCCCAGCACCACTGGGCTCGTTCGTGCTTCCTCCGGCTCCAGAGAGCAAATCATGAGAGGAACGGCAACGAGAACCAAACTTGCAAGATCCAGTCTTGAAGTATCTGCAGATTTCGTTCTTGGTGCCGCTACTCCTCGTCACTGGGGCAGTTGCTGTGAAGTCGGTTTCACGTAGGCGTGACTACTCAGGAATATCTATCAGGGGCTTATACAGCGAGACGAGGGCAACTGACCTCTTGATATACTGAAGAGATAGTGCTGCTCCCTGCAGAAGGTAACACGGGCTCGCTGCTATCCATGACGCTTTATGAACCACCTCGTCGA